TTGATGCCGCAGGGGCAGTCATCATGGCTGACACATGCAGAGCCGATTGATTACTCTTCGGCTCCACCATTTTGACCTCCAAATCATCCTTCGCCATACTCTGTACATACAACCTCACCTTTTCCAAACATAGCATTTTTCATTTTCTTCCCAATTTTCCCTTCATCCTTCCTCCTTCATAGAAACTCTAATCTTAGGATCTTCATCAGCGTTCTCTTCGAAAATATACAGAATCTTGATAAGCCCATCGACCTTATGCAAAGATTTACCTTTGGAATCTGGGCGCCACACTGGCCTCTTCGCCAACCAAGTTGCCGCCGCCCTTCTCACCAAAATTGGCTCCTTCGCCCAATGTGGCGACTCTTCCGACTTCAACATTGTCTTTGTCCCTTTCTCTAGGTTTCCCCTTTTACTTCTTAGGGTTAGACATACTCTCACCAGAGCTAAGGCAACATCGTCGCTAAGCGACAATCCCTCTTCATGGGTTAGACATATTCTTGCCGAAGCCAAGACAGCATAGCCACTGAGCGGCGATCCCTCTGCAATTTTTGATGGCCAAGAAAGTGTCTCTCTACACCTCCTCTGAACCAGGTTGTTGACATCTTCAAGAAAAGTTTCTCAACCTCTTTGAATTTTTCAGATCCAAGCTTCACGTTCGTTCAAATCCGACTTGCGGTGGGGTGTTAAGGATATTTAGTAATAAATTATAGTTTACCATATATATTATATTTGATATTTTATTATTAGGCAAATATCTAATATTTGCCTTATTACCATAAATATCTTTCCATTTATTACTATTTCCATATCCTTGTAATTTATTTGATTATAAATAAGATAACTTTCACACCATTTAGGTGTGGTGGATTAATCAAACATTCTTAAGTTGGCCTTCTTAAAATTTTGATGCTTGACGTGTACTCTTGACAATCCATTTTTTACGGTCGTTGATGGGATTTATGTAAATCTACTATGCGCCCCCTTTTAAGTCCGATTTTCTTGTTTGAACTTTTGGAGAATGAAGGTTTATTATCTCAAAAGTGGACCTAAATGGTGTGGAAGTTATATGTTTATAATCAAATAAATTACAAAGATATGGAAAGAGTAATAAATGGATAGATACCTATGATAAGCAGTAATGGAAGATATTTACTTATATTAAAAGATCAAATATGATATATATGGTAAACTATAATGCAGTACTAAATATCCTTAAGCTGAACGTCGGATTTGAACGAACGTGAAATTTGGATCTAAAAAATTCAAAGAAAGGTCGAGAAATACTTTTTGTGAAGATGTCTACCACCTGATTCGGAGGAGACGTCGAGAAACAATTTCTTGGCCATTGAAAACTGCAGAGGAATCGCCGCTTAGCGGCGATGCTGTCTTGGTTCCGGCAAGAATATGTCTAACCCACGAAGTATAAGGGGGAAACCCAGAGGAAGAAGGAGAATAGAGAGAGAGAGAGGGTTCGATGGTGACTATGAAGAAGAGATGAAGAAGAGGGTATAAACTGAGAATGCAGACTCGGGTGTATTTTAGACGAAGATAGAAAGAGAGGGGCGGAGACAAAGTGATGTCTACGTCTTGTGGACTTGGTTTGCTATTGAGCAAATGAGCACGAGTAAGAATATCTCGAGCATATTTTACAATTGGAGTTTGCACTGGTGACTCCAAAGGAGCAGTAGACGAAGTCGATGGAGAAGTAACCGGCGCCATAGCAGGTGGTGAAGTTCCAATGGACGGAAAGGTAGCCACGCTCCTCAGAGCAAGGGACGAAGACGATGTTGAAGTCAGAAGAGTGGCCACAGTGGGTGAAGGAGCTGATTTTGGCGAGGAGACCGGCGGTGACTTGGTTGGCGAAAAGGCCAGTGCGGCACTCAGATTTCGAGGGTAAATCTTGCATAAGGTTAATGGGCTTGTCGGGATTCCATATATTTTCGATGAGAATGCTGATGAGGATCCTGAGGTTAGGGTTTCTGTGAAGGATGAACGGAAGATTGGGAAAAAAATGAAAGAGGCTTTGTTGGTTAAGAGGAAACCGATTACGTTGGAGAAGGTGAGGTTGTATGTACAAAGTATGACGAATGGTGATTTGGAGGCCAAAAGGGTGGAGCCGAAGAGTAATCAATCGGCTCTGCCTACGACTATCATGGAGACTGCCCCTGCGGCGTCAAAGCCAGCAATGGTGGTGGAGAAGAAGATGAGTAAAAGGATTCAAAAGCCATTGAAAATAAAGGATTGAGATTGCGAAACCAAAACCGCTCCGATACCATGAGAATATTTGCTAAAACCACCTCTCCTAAACGGTGTGAAAGTTCTCTATTTATAACCAAATAAATTACAAAGATATAGAAAGAGTAATAAATAGATATGGTAAGCCGATATTTGCCTATAATAAAAAGATCAAATATAATATATATAGTAAATTATAATTAAGTAATAAACATCCTTAACAAGTATTACCTTTTACTGTCATGTTTTTTAATTAAATACTAACAGGTAACCTGAAACCTGATAATTTGTCATTGTGTTCTATCCATTTGATGCCCCTGTAGCTTTATATCTATGTTTCTTTCTTTCAATTGTTTGTAGAAATCTGTTCTATAATACTGCTTCATTCTTTAGTTAATGTACAGGTTGTATTTCCGCGTGGAGTTGTATGTTATAATGTTTTGTTGTGTCTGTAAAAGGTATTGAACTTCTTGTTTCGCAAATATTTTTAAATGGATTGAGGGTTTTGTGTTTCAGGCATTTAATATCTTGCGTTATGAGATTGGGCAGAAGTATAATTCTCATTATGATGCGTTCAATCCTTCTGAATATGGACCACAGAAGAGCCAAAGGGTACAAAGTAGATAGATCAGCCTTTCCTTTGTTCATTGCTCGTACACATTCACTACTTTGCCTAACTGACATTTTAGCATCCAAACATTCAGGTGGCTTCCTTTTTGTTATACTTGACTGATGTTGAAGAAGGTGGAGAAACCATGTTTCCATTTGAGGTAAGACCATAAGACCTCATGAACGATGCGGTTGAGTCAAATGGAGTATTTACTATGTTTGATTGGCAGAATGGCTTGAATATGGATGGAAAATACGATTACCAAAAATGTACTGGTTTGAAAGTGAAGCCACGTCAAGGTGATGGACTTCTGTTTTATTCTGTTTTTCCAAATGGTACAATCGATCCGGTTAGTGTTCCTGTTCCTATCTCTGTTGCTTGATATGGTGATTTTAGTTTGAATGCTGTATGGATTATTGATGTGTATTGTTGAACAACGAGTCAGCCTGAGGGAGCATATGCTTTGTTTGATCATGGAGCTTCTCGATTTATGATAAACCCCCTATCATATGCTACTCACCATATAGACATTGACATGATCATTAGGATCCCAGTCTTAAAATTGTATTACATAAAATGAAAAATACAGATTGATATAGCCTTTGGACAGGATCATCTCTATCCCAAGTTCTACAATGGACCAGTTATCTAATAATATGCTGATCTCTAACTACCCAACTCCCTCTATTGATAACCTTCCCTCCTAACCAACTATCAAGGAATTTGAATTTGGCCACTGCTAATACTTTCCTAGTAACATTCTCTTACACGGATCCATCAATTCCTTTAAGATTACTAAAATCTTTGCCACTTTCTTCAGGCTGTTACAGTTTGTGACATATTTGTTCAGACTTTGATTAGATATTGCTTTGCCATAGACAAGGAACATCAGGGATTATGAATTATGCTAAATTTTCCCAAAGCTGTTATAAGATGGTGCTCGTTAGGAAGCATGGACACTTATTATGAGCGAATGTAGAGGTGTTGGACAGAGACATGTTATTTGTTTTGAATGTTTTGGTTCTGCTTCTGGTGACACATTCAGGAGATGTCGGGACTCATCTTGTTTAGGAAATACAGAAACTAAGAAAGAAAAACTATAATTTCCTTTCCCCATTAAAACTACAAATATTTGAATTTGTATCAAGCAACTATGAGTAAGTATATGGAAATTTTCTAAAACTAAACTATTAAAAAAAAAAAAAAAACTAAAACTTCGTCTGACCAATTCCAGTAATGTAGTTTTGGAAGTTGATAGAAGATGCTCGTTTATTTTGTTGGGGACTTATTCTATATGATGATCTGACCTTAATACGTTGGGGGGCCGTAGACTAATTAATATTTGAAGTGGTAGTTACTTCAAATCTTTACATCATGCATATCGCTGCAGTTGAAAGCATGCATGTGCATAAGGTAATAGCAATTATTTTGGAAAACATATTTTTGTGGGTAATTCATTGTCTGTATGCTGTCCATGTATGTGCTTTGAGTTATTTGCATCTTTGTCATTCGGAAGCATTATGATGTAATTTTTCAGCAAGATTAGTGGGTCAGTTTAACGTTAAATGGTGTGCTATTCTGTTTAGCATTTTGCGTTTCTTAAGAACGCTGCTTGTCTGAGAATCTTATTTATTGGATGATTTTGCAGACATCACTCCATGGAAGCTGTCCTGTGGTCAAAGGACAGAAATGGGTCGCTACAAAGTGGATCAGAGATCAAGTACAGAACGATTAAGCGTAACTATTTACCACATGCAATGCATAACTCGTAAATCTCGGCCTATCATTTTCTCTATATTAGACAATGAATTTTAACATTAAAAAAAAATTGATTCCCATCCTCTTCCCCCTACCAAATAAAATACTAGGCGAGTTAATGTTAAAATGTTTTTTTTTTTTCAATGTAGTTAAGTGCTTAAAGTTTTAATTTAGGATAAGAGAAAAATGTCTAAATATTAAGCCAAGTAAATCCCCAACCTAATAACAGTTTGGAAATATGAATACTTTATTGAATAGATTTAATAATTATTGATTAGTATATAAATACATATTGATGTTGATTGATAAATAAATACTGATTGGTATGCCAGCTGCTGGGATTTATAGTTTAATCATTTAAAATACACCTTGAACAAAATATTCAAATCCCTCCATAGTCGAACTATTGATTAATATAAAACTTTGTTATTCACGAGCTAAGCAAAGTTACATAAAAGAAGAAAATATAATATTCTATCATTCAAAGAAAATGAATCCTATATTGACTAGGAGGTTAAAAGGTTCACCCATTTGGCAGCAACTTGTCTCCACCTACACCATTAGAATCTGAGTGGAGTCCTCTAGTCCTTCTCTTCATGATGATCTAACGTCTCATCAACAGGAATTAGCATTACACAAACAGGGAAATAGGATTGACTGGAATTGTTGAATTTGAATCTTAATCAACAAAAACTGATCCCATAACTTGATCTTGCAATCTCGAGCAGAAGATTAGCAGTTGCAGTTCTGAAAGAATGCTTACCAATTTCGTACCAAATCATGAAATGTTGAAAACAATTTTACTGCTTTTGCCATGCCTGATAAGGATGCTTTCCCCAACGCTTCAATGCATACATGCTGCCAGCCGAAGTGAACAGACCAAGGGCAGCAAATGCTAGAATCACTGAATTTTCGATACGCCGGTAATAGCCACCCTACGGAAACAAGACACAAACATCATCTATGTAATTTCTCATCTAAAGAAAGAGATACGAAATGGAAGGTTTTATAACTCGAGTCTTGTGCGTCCAAAAATATTAAACTTTATAACATGTCATCTGAATTCCCGTAGTAAATTATTCTTATCGTCAGGCTTAACATATCATATATGAAGAGTTCATAATGATAGCATCAGTCTTGGATGAAAGGACAGGTAATTTTCAGATCGATAAAATAGACCCTTCCTCATCTTAAAGTTTCCAATGTGCTTCGGAGTAAGAATGAAAAATGAAACCCTTACCAACGTTCTCCTTGGGGCTCCCAATTTTTCCCAAGGCCCCTTCATGGTAAACAAATTAGATATAGACAGGAAAATTCTTACCAGGTTTTGTTACTATTTGCATGTACGAATTTTTAACCTATGGCCCGTAACTACTTGCAAAACATGCCTAATTCTTTGCTTGTACAATTCAAATTGCTAGAGAGATAAGTTAAGGTACTCTTGAATTATACTAGATGCATTCTTTTCATCCAATGCGTGCTCCACCAATCAGAAGAGTTCAATTGAAGGTAGAATTTACATACCTGCAACAGAAAAAACAAAATTGCCGCATTTGCAGGGGCCAGAGATAAGCTAATCATCCCTCCACGCAACTTATTTGGCACATACCTATAAGAAAAATAGGAGGATAAAAAAGACATTGTGCAATCAAACCTGTTGCAAACATAATTACGTTTCTGCAGATGCTATCACAATAGCAAGTCAACACTTACATGGTCCTTAATCTTGCAAGTAAAGGTACAATTAAACCAACACAGGCATGAAATATGGAAAATAGCATCACTAGAACTCCAAGATCCTGCATAAATAGTAGAATATCAAGCTCCTTACTCGTCCAAATTTCTCAAAAAGCTAAGAAATCGAATCATATGTAACATACCTGATAATCAAAAGCAACAATTGATATCACGAGCCCTGATATTACAAAGCAATATAGTAAACAATCTTCAGTCCGAATGGATGATGTTCCTCCCATGAGCCATGGAAACAATGAGCTTCCAAGGATTCTTGACCCCAGCAAACATGGGTATATCAACCCAAGATGCACTTCCCGCCCATCAGCCTAGATCAGAAATAATAAAATAACTAAAAAATTCTGATTTAGAATGCCTGTTAACTAAATCCAACAGCAGTACCATTTTCAAATTGATACTCTTACAAGATTACTAGTACAGCGGTTTAATTTGTACTTTAAGCGAAGAACCTCAAAATTGGATAAGGAAACAGAACGACTTGTTCAGTGGCATATAATTTCAAATATTATAAATCCTCTAACAAATTAACTTTGATACTTCAATGTACTTTAGATATGTACCACTAATGTTGGAGCCCAAAGAATCCAAAAGAATGCAACAGAGAAGTGAATAGAAGCTTGGGCCCATGCCAATAACCATATCCTTTTATCTGCAAATTATGAAAGTTTATGAATTTTGAGAACATCTACTAATTTATCGTATTTCACAAATTATTTGATGGGAAGTATAATCTTGATAAAAATCCTAGTTCATACCAACTAAAGTTTATTGAACAGTGAAACCATCTAATCAGCTGATGTGCAAAAAAAAAAAAAAAATTAAGGTGAAGTAAACATTTGATCCCTAAACTTGAGAATAAGTTTCTAGTTGGTACATAAATCTCATTGATAGTTTAGTCCCTGACCTTTAAAAATTGTTTCTAATAGGTTCTTAGACCGTTAGTTAAACGAACAAAATGATTTGGTTATTCCCTCCCTTCTTTTCTCCTTTTCAGCGAGCCCACTATTTTGCCAAGTTCACAAAGAAAACTACTAAAAAAATTCTTCTCACAAAAACTAACAAAGAAATACATCTTCTCTCCTCTCTCTCTCCGAAACAAGAATGTCCTCCTCTGCCATGAAACAAAGTACACTGATTTTTGTGCTCAGAGATTATGGCACATAATAGGGCATTAAAATAGCTAAATCTAAGAATTCATTGAAATTTTAAGCTCCCACCTTAAAAAATGTCATAATACGATTAATTATGTCAATGGAGAATAAACCAACAAACAAATGCCAAAGCAAGTAAAAAGGCAAAGAATTCAATCAAATTTTTATCATCTCTCTAAAACCTCAATTGAAAAAATAAAATCAAAACTTGAAGCATCAACCAACAAATGGGAAAAGAAAACCAGAAAACGCAAGAATAATGAAACAGAAGTTTATATAGATCTGAACACCACAGAGATCTAAAAAACCCAAAAACCGAGTCCTTCCAGATTATTCCTCTTAAAAATGGAACAAAAAAGAGAAGATGAAGAGAAGACAAAAAAAACTCTGCCTAGTGATTTACAAAAAAAAATCTTCATGTATTGTACAGAATGGCTTGAATTTGATTGGTTCTTTTTATAGTTTTCTAAGAACTAGAATTGAATGATAGAAAATGGGGGGTTTGGGATAATATTTTCCTTTTGGAGTAGAAAGGTCTTTGGATTTGAATTTTTAGATAAATTTCTTTGTGAATTTTCTTCATGAACTCACCAAAATGGTATAGGAAGAAGGGTAGGGAAAATGAGAGAGAGAGAGAGAGAGAAAAAAAAGGCACATAAGCAAAATTAAAATCTAGTCAGCAAGTTCAGACGTGCCAAATCATCTTTTCGTCAGTCAACTAACAGTCCAAGGACCTTTTAGAACCATTTCCTATAGGTCACGGACTAAACTGTAAATTTTTTTATAAACATAGGGATAAAAAAGAAACCTATCCTCAAACTCAAGGACCAAAAGTGTATTTTACACTAGAATCTACCTTGGTGAAGACATTAAGCACTTGGTCTTCCATAGGTTTCTCATTAGTAGAGTGCAGAAGAAACCAAGAAAACAAAAATAATGGCTGCATTCCATTCTGAAAAAGTTAAAAATGATATTCGAAAACCAATATATTTTCAATAGACATTGCAAATTACTAGAAAAGACCCAACTTTGTACAAGGATTTGTCCAAGAAAATCCCTGAAAACGATATGAAGGTATTTGATAGTTTCGGGTAGGTTGGGGTTCGGCAAAATTGGTATATATTCAAATACATCAGAGACGTTAATGCGTCAACAGAGCAAAACTGTTAATTAAATTAACAATAAAAGGCATAAATATACTTGGCTGAAATTTCTACCCAGTCAAACAAAACCTAAACCAAGATGTAAGTAAATATAAGGAACATATGGTGCTTACCACTAAAAATATATGCACTGAAAGAAGTTCTATAGTCCTCCAGTTCTATTCTTTGTGATGCTTCTGTCCACCCTTTGGTGACAAAAGTTAAACATATCAATGCCAAGAACACAGCAACGGTGGAAGGAGAAAACATATTTATCTTAACATTATCACCAACCAGACTATTCACAAGCATCTGGTTTCCAATCAAAGAGACAGACTCAAATACGGTCATTAGCCAGAATGTGTCACTTAACATATCTTGCCTTTGACCTTGCTGCAAGGGGAGAAAAATACATGAGGGAATGACTTTACATTAGTGCTCTATTTCAAACAAGAGACTCATGAGGTACTGCAGGAGCTCGAATAGAAATCAACATGGCCAACCATTCAACCAAGTAGAAACAAAACAAGTTGGAGCATAAGTTGAGATCGATAAAACAGATGAATAAATATCTAATTAAACTTACTAGGTTACATCAACTTAAATATAAATAAATAAATAAATAAGCTGGTTGGTTTGATTTCAAGAACCTTAAACTTGAAGTAAAAAATATTACAATCAAAGTCCATTGATTTCATATTTAAGGGTCCTCAACTCCTTTAAACAAGTATGACATGAATGTAAATTTATGTGCCCTAATATGATGGCTACCTAAATAAATCCAAGTGCAAAGCTACGTTAACAAACCTTCTCATGATGATGTACCATCCATGCTTCGAAGCTGAATGAAAATATTGAAGTAGCAAGAGATAAACCAATACTGGTGATAAAGAGACTTGGATGCACAGAAATCCTCTTCCATACGGCAGTGACAAGGTGTATTATGCAAAACGTCATACATACTTTCTTTTGACCTCTACAATAATAATAAAATCATTTCTTAGAAGAACAAAATCATTTACTTCATTGTATTTATAATAAAATCTTAGTAATGAAATCTGAATGGGAGCATTGAAGGAGGAATTCTACTCTCTAGTAAAACCATGAAAATTGAGCTGACAACCTAGCAAGTGACGGTTACTGGAAAACAACGTTGATTTTTCAGACTGCACCGTCTTTTTCTTTATATTTGTTCCAAAAACTACACTGTCCTACTTAAATGTTCATAACGACGATCTTAGAACTTATGTGAAATCACTAATTCCTTTGCCAAAAAAACATCTGAATTTCTATCATCAGAATATTGCGTAAATAAAATTCTATGATATATCACAGTTACCAGCATAATTCCATGTTCAACCGGAAAAATAATCTAGCATCAGATTTCCATTTCCTCTGCATCATGGCATATAGACGAAGACAGCGTACTAGCATTTCGGAATGAGAAGGTAATCGAGTAAATAAGAGAACTAAAATTACATCAAATCGGATAGAACGCCCAAAAAGGAACCGACGAAGAGAGAAGCCGCATATCCAACACATAGAGACAACACTATCTGTTCTCTGCTAACTCCGCGATACGTATACTCAAACTCACCATATACTGACCATAAGCCTTCCATTACTGTAATATAAAGAGGAGTAACCGATTAGCAACATCCACGCCCCTTAATTGAAAGGAGAATTTACGTTTGCTGAACTCGATGAACTAGAAATGTCAGTAAAGGGAGGGAAATAGTCTGGAAAAAGGTTAAATTAAAAAGAGAAGATCCCGCCTGAGAGAGACTCTCGAAATTACCAGTTACTTGTAAATTTTATTTAGGAAAAAAGGAAGAAAGTGTGCAGAGTAATACGCAGAACTTACCTGACGCAAGAGAATAGAGTAGCAGGAATTTCCGCTGGAAACTAGAAAATGAGGATGAAAATCCATGATCGAACGGAGAAGGAGTTCTGGTGGAGCTATTCTTGGAAGCATAAGGTAGAAGAAGGATCGAAAGAAAACAAGAGAGGAAGATGAAGATGAACAAATATGGATTTGGCTCCCAAATTGAGTTTTCGATGATCACCGCCATTTTTCTAGCAGTTACTCTCTCAAAGAAGCCCTAGATCTCTGGCCATTTTTGAGAGAGAATTGTGAGATCGCAAGGGGAAGATGCGCGGTAAAAACAACTTGCATTGCTCATTTCCCTTCAAATGCTTAGAAGTGGGACGGAGGGCATTCTCTTCTTCTTTCTTTTCTTTTCTTTTTTTTTCTTTTTTCCTTTTTTTTTTTTTTTTTTTTTTTTTTTTTTC